CGGACATTTGATCACGCCCAACAAAACAGACAGCAGAACCACAAGACACTAAGCTCATGAACCACCATCATGAGTCAGTTCAATGTCGAGTAACCATGATGAAAAACAGAAAGGCTTTTAACCCACAGATTTTCACCACCTTTATCATCATCACTAGCAGCTCATCAGCCCGGGTAGTTGGTCTCCCCTTTTTTTGATGGGCTTCGGCAGCTGCATCCAGCTGCAACTGCTGCCTCTTTGCGAAGCGAAGCCGCTTCAGCTTTGAAGGCTGACGCCTTAAGCGCAGCAGCAGCTGAGTTGGTGACACTGGTTGGCGTCGATGTGAGGCCCGGACTTCCGCGGATGCTGCGTTCAGGGAAGACTCTTGCTGCTGTAAGGAGCGAGCTTCCTCCTGAGCGTTGGAACGTTGGGAGCATGTGCAACTCTGAAGTGTCACGGTCCACTCAGAAATCAGAATCAACTGAAGAGAACTGAGTTATGAACTTAAGTACAAGGATATAAAGTCTGTCTATAAGCACATGTATATTCATCCTCTTGGGGTTGATTTCTGAGTTTTTGTTTTCAGTCATGTTTCAATGTTTTTATACAAATTTAAACTCAGAAATCAACTCTAAGACAATAAATCAACCTCAGAAAAGGCTGAAGCATTTGAATAAACATAAACTAAACTTAGAAAAAGCTGCACTTTCTCAGTTTAACCTTCCATGCTCCTGCCGCGAGGCCACCACCGCAGTTGCTTCAGCACTTTCGCCTTCGGCCCATGCTGCAGCCTCGGTGGTCGCGGATCCAGCACGTCTGAGCGGTGACATCGCTGTGGCGCCCGACCTCCGCAACGTAAAACCTGAGAGGCACAAGGGGAACTGTACAGGGGAACTGTACTGCATCTGGGTGATTGATTTGTTTGATTTTCCTTTTCACATCTGTCAAAAGGTGACTTTTTTTACACTCCGGTAAACTAACATGGCAATGGAAAATCCACCAATAAATGATGGTTCCCCAGGGTTTCTCTACAAAATATGGTGATTTTCCATTGCTATGTTAGTTTACCGGAGGGTAGTTTGAGTGTCCTCTCAGAAGACGCCTTACGCACTTACTCTTTCCAAGATGATGCGCACATCATACATCTGCTATCAAAAAACAGGCATGGCAAAACCCTTAGATAGGCCGAAGGCTCAAAAGGGAACGTCAGCTGATCAAGAATGGTTCGTAACTCATAGTGACACCATGTTCAGCCCATTATTAACCATCATGATAGCCAACCATGATAACTCTTAGAAGACCAACATCAACTTTTGAACCACCAGAACCATCATCAACCCACCATCACCACCATCAACCCATCACAACATGGTTGACCATTCACCCCTCATGTACAACTCGCACGAATCTCGGTCTCCGAGCCAATTGGCTGCACGCAGCTCAGCGGCCCTTGCAGCTTTCTCCTGCGCAAGCCATGGGGTGAAACATCCCCCCGTCAACCGTGGGGAACCACGACATGTTTCATGATTCATCATGAGCTTTCTCATGGGGGAATTAGTATGCTGATCATTCATCATGGTTAATCCTGGGCCGGAACTATGTTTATCAATATGAGGTTTAACTCGATATTGACTGGCAATTGTTCATCCTCAGTATGAACCGACCAGAGTGATCATTGTCCCATAGTGATCATTGCAATCATCAATCATCAACTTATCACACTTCACCCATCCCATTTACCATCCTTAACCAACTATTGAGCAACCTCCACCAGCCTCAACCAGCCACTAACCCAGCCACTAAGCAACCCCCAGGGGCTCCACCATTCACCGGTCTCCTGCTGAAGCTCAGCACGAGCCTCAGCAGCTTGGACCTTCTCATCTGCCATGGCCACCAGAGCCTACCAGGAGAATGGCGGGTTGAAGATGGGAAATGGTTGATGCTAAGCATGGTTATAATGGTGGTTATATTGGTTATGATGGTTAATATTTACCAAGATGCCGGTTGGTATTAAGCATGGTTATAATGGTGGTTAGATGTTAAGCATGGTTGTGAATTGCTATAATGGTTATAATGGTTATAATGGTTATAAGCAGAGTTAGTTGGTTGATGATGGTTAGAATGATTAATATGTTTAACAATATTGTTTTACTGGTTGGTATTCAGCATAGTTAATTGGTTGATGATGGTGGGTTGATGCCTTGGGATTCACCATGATTGGTTACTGGCTGCTTAATGGAATTGATTAGTGGGTAATGGTTGGTTCATGGCTTCAGGAGCTTTCTCAGAAATCTTGGGATGTCAAAGTACGCTGAAGGTAAAGACATCGGTATCCGCAATCCAACTGAGGTCCCCCTCCTCCTCAGCTTCTTGAAGCAAGCGAGCTCCTTCGGCTTCTGAGCCTATAGACCTTTTCGCCTGACAGAAAAGCGACCGGAATCCTAAAAAGATCAAGATATTCCAAGAGGCCTCAAACACACAAAAAAATAGGTGCAAGATGCTTCAAGACATCAGAAATTGTTGGGAAAATGTGGGAGTTTGTTCATGATATAACTTTGGATATGATTGCAACATGGATTTGATGAGGATAAAACATGAATTGAAGGAAAACATAGGAAAACCATGCCAAAATTGCATAAGCAAACTGATCAGCAAAGCAATTTGTTCGCCACATGTGGCAGCAAGAATGGCAGGCAGTTCTTGATGTTCTTGCAGCTGGAGCTGAACTACATTGTTCAAATCAATTTTCCTCGTCATCAACTACGCGACGATACACAACAATATACAACATACCACATGCCCTCAAATAGATCATGTTCATCACCATCACAACCATCGTCATCACCATGATAGTGGTCATCCTTATCATATGTCCTTTAACTGTCTCACATGTCATTAGGTTCACAATGTGGGAGTCTTAGTAAGAGGTACTGCATCATTGGGGGCCCAAGAGTTGACGAAGTAAGTGGAGCAGCGGCATTTTTTTCATTCGCAGTGGAAAGAGTCGCCTTTTCGCTGGTGACACGTCAGCTACACTTCTCGAACTGGCGTATGCCGCCGTGCAAAGCACATAGTCAAGTCACATGAGATGTCACCATTCGTTTCTCAAGACAAGCTCCTGAACGAAAGAGATGTTAACCAAGTCTGACTTTGGGACAGTCAAACTTTGGGACTTCAAGGGACTTCTTTCAGGGACCTCTCTCTTTGGTGAGATGTGAAACAAAAGAGCCGTGAACTGAACTTCTGCTCGGTGCGGTCGGACTTTTTCCAAAGCACCTGGGCTCAGCTCATTCCACGTGGGCCACCAGCTGCCTGCGACAGGTCATGCTGCAGCATGACTTGGATCGTCGTGTTGTAGGTCGGTCTGCCCTAGGTGCATATTTATTTATCCTGATTCAAATATGTGTATGTAAATGCATATGTAATGTACAATATGTGTATTTAAATATTAATATATATATATATACTTATTTGTACATACAAATGCATGTTTTCAAATGAATAGAGTTTATATTTATTTATATATCTATCATTATCTATCTATCTATCTATCTAGCCATCTATCTATCTATCTATCTATCTATCTAGCTATCCATCTATCTATCTATAACCTTTGGCTGAATTATGTTCTGGTCAGAAACTCGTCTTACAAACCTGTAGTTCCAAAGTTGGGCGACGGCACCACGTTTCCGGCTTTGGCCAAGCGACATGTTTTGGTCTCGTTGCTCCAATGTGCGATCCACCAGCTCAAGCAAGGGCTTGTTCAAAGCAACCTCCAAACACTGGTTAGAATGATTAATCTTATAATGGTTATAATTGCTATAAAGCAATGGTTATAATGGTTCTGACAATGGTGAATGATTCATTAATGCTGGTGCATAAGTAGTGCGGTCAGGAATGGTCAGTGCGAATGATTTCGGATGCGCTGAGACAACCCTGACGGAGGCTAATTTCTGCACTCGAACTGGAACACCTTGAAGGGGGCCCCATTAGGTGACCTGCATTCCCATCAACTTCCTAATGCGGATCAATTGGGAATCCCCAAAAAACCATATTGGATGATGTGGAGGGTCCCCTATTTTGAGAAAGCATCATGTGAATCTATACATTTTGTTGGGTGGCGAGTAGTGACAGGCACACATGTCAATGCATCAATTGGCTCATTCAACTTCCTAACATCCATCCTTCCCATCAACAAACCAAAGTACTTGACATCGCTTGACCTACTTGATCTGCGTCTGAAAATCTATGGATATCTGCTCCTAGGTATTGATCTCCATTGATGGGTGACCTACCCGGCCTCCGTGTCAGACATCTCGATTTCACGTTGAGCTGCTTTCCATTCCATCCTTTTCACACGAAATGAATTGCTGCCAAAGAGATGTCAGAAACAAGGTCTGAACGCCCATAAACCACACACTGCCACGAAGTTTCTGCCAAAAGGACAACCACTTCGACATCTGCCGCCACCAAGAGACTGTTGGATGATTTCCTTCTGATAGGCAACACTTCGTTCTCTTCGGTCGATGACCTGCGATTTGGCATGCCAAAATCACTAAAACTACCGCCTTTAAATGGTGGGGGAGACAGCATTACTACTTAAACAACACTAATCATTACGAATCATGATAACAATAGTAGTTTGGCATGTAATACGCCATACCACTCATAATTTGCTAATATTCAATATTTATTACAACTGAGATAACTAAGCTTGTGAGCAAGATTGCCAATAACAAGAACCTCAAATATCAAAAATCATCTGAAACAGAAAAATATTCTATCAAAATAAATTCGGTAAATCCAGTCAATCACTTCGAATTCACTTCAGAGCCACTTAAAATTCAGGTAAATGGGTTCACCCTGTACCCCTGGTTCCCCATTAACCAGTTTCTTTTCCCTATTGTTGGTGATTATCCCAACCATGAAAGTTGATGAACTGCTTGACCCATAGCCCAATTCGGCTCACTTGGTGAAATTCCCGCAACATCTGAGAACAAGAGTCCCACAGAATCTGAGATTCATTGGCTCCCAGCTCCAGTTGGGAAACATTGCCCCCTTTTTTCGGCTCGCGACTTGTCGTCATCTTTTCGGCTGTCCCTCTCCTGCATCTGTTTCAACCTTGGCAGTTGCAGTTGTGAAAACTTCAGCCAGGTTCTCCTTCGTTCCCGGTCTGGTCACATTGGACATGACAACTGCTTCCGGTCCGTCATCGTTGTCATCACTAAGTTCTCCACAGGTACGCCTGATTCTCCAGTTTCATTTGCTTCAACCTCTGCTGTTTGATGGCTTCAGCCTCAAAGTAGTGCCTATCGCCAGGTCGGATGGTTCTGTGATGCTTGTCATGGTCAACTGCCATGTTTGCCAGGATGATGGCCCCAAAACTTAATAAGGATGCTTGATGATGATGTCAGTGGATGATGTCAGTACCCTAAATCTTCACCCATCATCAAACACCAAGCATAGCTAAGCATCAAAGATTAATCATGAACACCAAGCATGATCAAGTCCGAGGCTGAGCTTAAAAATGATCAAATGATCCCAGGTCTTCCGGTTTTCCATTCACAACCATTGGTCAACCACCAGCCGTCGCAGCTTGTCAACCAGCAGTTGTTGTTCCCCGATGCTGCGATGCCTATCTTGCTCCTCTTGTTGAGCTCGGGCTCGGGTGGCATCTGCATCGCCGGACTCGGCTTTGATGCTGCTGACGTTGTCCTGGCCGTGAACGTTCACGATGGGCTTAAATGACCATATGTTGACCATGTAAATGGAGGCCATATATATCATATATATATATTCAATATATTCAAGTTTAAACTTATTATCTAAATAAAGCATATGTAATGGTGGTCAATGATTGATAACAAGAATTATGGCCGATTAAATCACGCCAAATAGCCATAGATATATTTCTTAATTTATGGTTTATCGGTGGTTGAAAAATAGTTTTTGATGGAACTGATCGTTTTTTGTCACTTTTTGGTGGATTACGGATTACCGTTGTTGAATGATGGCATATACTAGTCAGTCACGGTTGATCATAGACAATTATTGAAGTGAGGCTATGATTGATTAACGGTTACAAAAAAAGCCTGAGGGTTGGATAATGTTGGATAATGGTGGTAAAGATAGTGATTAATGATTTCATGATTGATGATAATAACTGAAAGATGGCATAAGATGGTGGCGCTCTTGCTGTTCTGTTGGCATAAAATGGTTGATAAGGATCAAATGAAGGCTTCATTGATAACTCCGAGCATTGAGACCATCATCTGCTGATATCTGCTGATCCCTATTGGCGTCTCAACCATGGGGCAATACCATCGCCCTGCATTCATCTTTGGGGTCGTGGCTCCTGGTACCTGAATCGATGGATGTTTCCGCAGGTGCGTCAACCATCACACATGACCACGAACCTCGTTAAGCATATATATGTTACAATTCATTCAAATGTGCAAATGTATAACGATATACTACAAATATATAACACAATTATGTACAATCTCCACATTACTTATTTACATACATACATACATACATACATATATATATATATATATTCACAATGATATGCAATTTATACATTATATATATATATACCATTGTAAAAAAATATTTATAAGAATGATAATACCTAAATAATATAATTTATCTTATTAATTTCCTTCTTTTTGCCGATTTTTTTCCACATAGAGTTTCCTCGATCCCCACCTGCAGCTTCTTCATGAGCTGCGCTTGCCTCTCCATGCCTTGGAGCTGCGCTGGTGCGGCAGCTGCGAGGTGTGCAGCGCTGGGTCCCCTGCGTTCGTGGAGCTCCTTGGCCTTGGCTTCCTCCTGTTCGTCCAAGATCCGGTTGTACTCCTAGGCACTCCAAGTGGCGCATCATGGTGATATGTATAGCGTGATGATGTTGATGGTTGATAGCGTTGATGTATAGCCACAAGTTAACCACATGGTTTATGGATGTTTGTGGGTTGATGTTTATGGCTTATGGATGTTTAAGATGGATGTTTATGGGTTGATGGTTTAAGGCCAATGGTTTTCTGGTGATGTTCATGGTGGGTCACAACATCATGCTTCGTGGTGAACAGCTTGGTGTGCTCCTTGATGGTTTCAGCCTCCTTGTCTTTAGCTTCCCGTGCAGCTTGGTCACGCTTGCGTTGATCCTGGCAGTCTTACCATCGCGAAGCGCCGCAAATGCCACATCTTCCCCCAATGGACCAGGGCTCAGGCCCATCATCAACGGCGTCATCGGGGCGCCTAGAATTTCCCTCTATACTTCGATATTTCACTGTCACCCCTATTTTTGCCAGGGCATCGCAGAGGGTTGGCCCTGCCTTTCGCAGGATAAAATTGGGGAAATTCACTGTCACCCCTATGGCCACCCAAATTCAACCCCTTTTTTTTCGGAGAAACTTCCCGTGTTTCCCAAAGATTTCCACCTCTGCGTTCTGCTCGAAGACCTTTCGCATAGCTTTCCTGACAGACGACATCCCCGCGGGCCCTTGGGGTTGTTGATTGGTAGATATTGGTAGGGTTGTTGGTGGTTTCTGTTGGCTACTTTTTGTTAGCTTATGGTTAAGTTGGGTCATCAAAATCCCTACCTTCCTTGAGTCATGTGGGATGTCAGCGGGTAATTCTCCGCGCATTGAACTGATTTAAAGCTTCCACTGGTTGAGATGAAGTCCTCGTTCCTGAGACATTTCTAACCGTGAAGTCCCCTGGACACATCGAGCCGAGGTCATCCTGGCGCCTGGTCTGCTCTTTCTTCTTCTCGTGACGTTTCTGATCTGCCTCCATTTCTGTCACAATCCTCGGAGTTTAGAAAGCTCCAAGTATTGCAAAGGAGCTCCTTCTCTTATATATATATACACACAGATATATATATATATAAAGGTAAGGTTACCCTCAGTGCAAGTTTCTCTTACCAGTCTGTGGGGAGCTTTCCTTTGTGGTCAAGTGTTTGAACACTCTTGATGAATCTTATGGATTGAATCGAACGTGGTGATTTGTTGACTTTCGTCGTATCTGTCAAGGCTCTTGTCGACGAGTTGAATTTCTTCATCCTTGCGACGCTGCTCCTCCTGGTCCTTCAGCAGTTTTTCGTATCGAAGCTGTTCGTCTCGATCCTCCTTCTCCTTCAGCACGCGCAGGTGTCGTTCTTCGTCTCTCTCCTTCTCCTGCTGCTTCCAACGGTCGAGTTCCAACAAGGTGTTCTCATAGTGACGTTTTTCCTCCTCCAAGGCCTGACACTTCGAAGGAATGCATAAGGAATGCATATGAATTCAGCATTCTAAGGGACTTCTCCATCAGGAATTCACGATTCTAAGGGCATTAGATCAGACTGACGAATTGCTTCTCAGAACCCAACATGGTTCGGTCATTTTCTACGTCACGATCAGCACAAAAGCTCGCACTGGATGGATGGATGGATGGATGGATGGATGGATGGATGGATGGATGGATAGATAGATAGATAGATAGATAGATAGATATATATATATGTTAGATATTTATACAAATATATTGTGTATGCTGTACCTACTCATTCGTATGTATATGTGCTTTTAACATATTCACCCATATATGTATATACATGTGTAGGTTAGATTTAAAAGATCAAATGAGAGAGAGGGAGAGAGATCCTGCTCTGTGACTCATCCTTTAGATCCGCTATGGTCTGATGTTTCCAGCCTGCTTGACTGAATCTGCAATCAGCTTGCCGTCAGCAAAAACCTCAGTTCATCGGCAATCTTTAGCCATAGCTGGAGATGTTTAAACGAACTTTTCGAGGCAGATCCTGTTTGCGCGGAAATGGCTCGAGGGCCTGCTTTTCTGTGCACTTAGCAGGGTTGCCCTTTGCCCCAGCGTGAAATGAAACAAACATGTCTGAAAAGACTTCCCAAAAAAGGAATTTGCCTCGCAAGAGTGTAACAGCTTTGGACACAGTGGTGACAACACCATTCGTGGAGTTACCCCAGGGTGGTAATCCAATGGTATGACTCAAATGGACATCATGACGTTCATGAAGATTGCCCTGATTGTTAAATAAATTACCCATGGCTGCTGAATGATAAATAGATATTGGTGGCTAGTACTGGTTAATACCTACGGTTGATGATGGTTAGTAAGGATGATTGATGATGGCTAGCTAATGGTCATTCCCAATGGTAAAACATCAATAATATATTAACCCACGGTACTTTTACTCTACAACAATTACAATCATTAATATCAATAGCCGTTCTTACAACCCTTGTCTACACATATCATGATTCACGCGGTTTCGAGATGACCATCAATTCACCAGTGGATACCAGCTTCACTAGTAACACAAGTGATGATTGACCATCACCCTGGTTACAACTAACCATCACTAACACCATTACCCTAGTAACTAATACCTAAACTACTAATAAGATCAGGGTAGCACCATTACCAATGAGGTTTAACTAGTAATCACTAAACAACCTCACTAAACATGGTACTAGTCACTAAACAACCATACACAAGTGTTAGTTGATACCATTTAACTAGTAACAACTAACACTAAACAACCTCACTAACAACCTCACTAACCATTCCTGGTGTCACTTGCGTTGTGGCTGCGGCATGCTGCTGCCCTGTGGCGTTGCGCATCTTCCGCTGCGAGAACCGAAGCTCCAGCGGGTCCATCTGCGTGACGGCCTTGGCGATGGGTTCATGATGGGATGCAGTGGTCCCCGATGGTTTCCCATGGGTGAATTGGTTGGTCACTGAGTTAATAATGATGATGGGAAATTAACCATGGTTAATCACTCATGATGCTAATTAATGATTAATGATTGGTTAATGATGGCTAATTAGTGATGGTAAATAATGATGGTTGATTGGTTGGTTAATGAGTTGATGGTCAATTGATGGGTGAGCTGATGGATCAATGGTAAATTGATGGTGTATCATGGCTAATCATACTGATGGATCATGAACTGGCGATGGTTAATCAATGCTTAATTCATGGTCATTAGTTCGTGATGGCCTATGGTCACTAAATGGTTACTTGATTGGTTCATAATGCTTGACAAGAGCTCATGGTGGTCATCGCTATGAATGGCCTGATGGGTAATGATTGCCAAGAATGGTGGATAACCAACGGTGATGGCTAATGATGGATTCATAGGCGACTCAAGGCTGATGGCCACCAGAAATCAGTGTCAACAACCATGCCATCGAAAGCTTAGGCAGCAGCTAAGGGAGTGAAGCAAAAGGCCAGAGATAGAGCCAGATCTAACACATGTTGATTCCTTTCTACTGGCAATAAAAAGCTTAGGCAGCAGCTAAGGGAGTGAAGCAAAAGGCCAGAGATAGAGCCAGATCTAACACATGTTGATTCCTTTCTACTGGCAATAAAGAAAATGAAACATGTCGGGAAAAAACACATAAAAACAATGCAATCAATAGGTTCAAAGAGCTTCACATTTTGCCAGTGCTGTTTGGGAACAAGTCGGATGTCATCCTGGTTCAACTCTTGTGTTGAGGGAGCCAATTGGCACACTAAGCTCCCAAAATCCTGTTGACACACACTCTCAACTGAAGCTCTCAACTGAAACCATCGAGACACCCTCTCACTGTCTTCGCTGGCATCTGAATCCTCAGGCTCCTCATCACCTTGGACGACGGTGATCTCTTGGATTTAATCATCGTCTTGTGATGTTTTTCAGGGCCAAACCTGACCTTGACAAAAATCACATGTGATGAATGTGGTGTCCATGGTGTCTTTGATGTGTCCGTCGTGGTGCATGGCATGCGCCTTCTTCCCATGATGGCTCGGCCATGGCTACAGTTTCTGCTGCTCAGGGACTCAGCAACACTGCGAAGCACTATCTGCTAATACAAATGCTGAAGCGTGGCATCTGACTCTGAAATTCCGAACTGAGCCTGTACGAAAATTCAGCTAAGGTTGCCCAAGGAAATCCAATAATTTTCCACTGCATGTGCTGTAGTGCGTGTTGTGGCATGGTATGTTCTGTGTGATCCTTCCGTATTCCTTCGACTTATAGTAGCGCACGTACATGGTAATTAAGCAGCAGTTGTTCTGCACTAAACGCCTATTGTCACAGGGAGCAACCCCCCCCCTCCGAACCCCCCCCCTCAAAAAAATAAGGCTGGATTAAGGCTGAAATAAGAATAGGGCCTTAATAAGGCCTTAATAAGGCCTTATTAAGGCTTTAATAAGGCATTAAGTTTAAGGCCAAATTAAAGCCAAATTAATGGATAATTCAAATTTGATGGAGAAAATGACCCTTAATTAAGGGTTATTTTTGCTTCCAGTGAAACCACCACCCAATTGAAAGCAATGCTGAGCCGGGAGATGGACCGCGCATTTTGTGCTCAGGGCTCTCAGGATTAAGTTATCTTTTTTAACGACCGCATCAACATACAAAGGAAATCTGCAAATAAAGGTACGAATCCTCTTTCCAAACATGGGAAGCCTTATTTGCCATCATTCAATTTTACCTTTTTTAGGACAGGTAGAATGATGCAAACACCATGGTATTTACATTGGTTTCTCACCTATTTGGCCTTAATTCTTCCTTAATTCCTCCTTTTTTTTTTTGGGGGAAGGGTAGAATGTTGCAAAAACCATGGTATTTGTATGGGTTTCTCACTAATTTGGCCTTAATTCCTCCTTAATCCCTCCTGATTTTTTGGGAACGGTACAATTTTGCAAAAACCATGGTATTTCATCCTTAATTAATGCTTAATTCCTCCTTATTTTTTGGGAAGGGTAGAATGTTGCAAAAACCATGGCATTTGCATGGGTTTCTCAGTAATTTGGCCTTGATTCCTCCTTAATTCCACCTTAATTCCTCCTTACTTTTTTGGGAAGTGTAGAATGTTGCAAAACCCCCGGTATTTGCATGGGTTTCTCACTAATTCCTGCTTAATTCATCCTTACTTTTTTTGGGAAGGGTAGAATGTTGCAAAAACCATTGTATTTGCATGGGTTTCTCACTAATTCCTCCTTAATTCCTGCTTAATTCCTCCTTAATTCCACCTTAATTCCTCCTTATTTTTTTGGGAAGGGTAGAATGTTGCAAAAACCGCGGTATTTGCATGGGTTTCTCACTAATTCCTCCTTAATTCCTGCTTAATTCCTCCTTATTTTTTTGGGGAACGGTAGAATGTTGCAAAAACCATGGTATTTGCATGGGTTTCTCACTAATTCCTCCTTAATTCCACCTTAATTCCTGCTTAATTCCTCCTTATTTTTTGGGAAGGGTAGAATGTTGCAAAAACCATGGTATTTGCATGGGTTTCTCACTAATTCCTCCTTAATTCCTGCATAATTCCTCCTTAATTCCATCTTAATTCCTGCTGGTGCGTCCCGCCGTCCCGCTCCAGGAAGACCCTGGCGCTCTGGTTGCCCAGCAGCCGTCCGGGCCGCTGTCGGAGGCCGCGCTGTTGTTGGAAATCTGCAGCTTGCTCCAGCCCGCCCAGTTCTTCGTCAGGAAGAGATCGTCCGAGAAGTCGGAGGTGTTGGTCACGATGAGCGTGTTGGAGGCGAAGAGTTGCGGCGCGGAGACCGTGCCCGAGCTCGTCACATCGCCGCAGACCACGCTCCCGTCGACACTCCACCGCTTGTGGCCGTGAAGGTGCAGTCCAGGCTCTCGCAGTCCAGCGGGCCCGCGGAGGCCGCCCCGGTGATGGTCAGTGTGGCGCCCGTGAGTGCCCCGGTGGCTGCGAAGCTCGCCGCGGTTGCTGCGCCCGAGGCCGTCAATGTCCCCGTGGACACGTCGCCCACCGTGGTGAAGTTCCCGGCGTTGGCCGTGTTGTTGATGGTCAACGTGCTGCCCGTGATTCCGGTGGCTGAGCTCAGCAGGCCCACGCTGGCCGCCCCCGTGATGCTCAGCGAGCTGCCTGACACGGCCCCTGTGGACGACAGCGTGGCTCCGGCGACGGTGCCGGTGGCTGTGAGCGCTGCGCAGGAAATGGCGCCCGAGGCGTCCACGCCCGTCGTGAACACGTCCGTGCAGTTCACGTCGTTGCACAGCAGCTGGTCGCAGCCCACGTTGCCCTGCGCGGTGAGCCCGTCCAGCGTGGCCGAGCCCGTGAGGGCCAGCGAGTCCGCCAGCAGGTCCGTCACGGAGACCGACTCTCCCTCGAAGGCCGAGGCCCTGATCTGCATGCTGTACAGGTCCAGCGTGCCCGCCGACTGCTGCACCAGCCCGGGGATCGAGCCTCCGAAAGGCTCCGAAGTGCAGCTTCGCGATTCCGCCCGGCGGCACCGAGAAGTCCA